TTGGATATATGGTGATGGAATTATAGCTCATTAAATTTTCAGAGAATCTGTTTAGCCTGTGACTATAATTTATTAGTCTCGTGCATTTTATTGACACAGTAATCGTGTAGGTATTATCACGTGATATTATATTTGGATATATTGGTGACGAAATTTTAGTCCATTAAATATTAAATACTGTATTTTTAGTTGTAACTATAATTTATGATATTTTTAGTCTCGTTTAAACGCTTCCCATCCTTAGTAGAATTGGTGATGTTTAAATTTGATTATGAAAATTATATCATATAGCCATAGGCATCATAAAGAGAGAAGATAAAAATATGCATAGAAAGCACAACTCTGGGAGAGTTTAATATTTTGCGTTGTCTTTTACTTAGGACTTCAAATAAATTTAATGTTTCATCTGATACTTAACCAAAAGGAAAAAGCTAATTAAATCTGAATCATGCTCAAGTCTTGATGGTCGGTCCTTAGAGCAGACGTCGCATGCATTCACGAAACTTAGGACCATCTGCAAAACAATAAAACGAGTACATATATAAGACCAAAAGAGTACAAATAACTATTTATGTTCCAATATAAGAAAACAAAACAGTGAAGCACATAAATATGAGATTCAGGCCTTTCGATAAATATAGTTAGATAAATTTTTTTTTTTTTTGACACGTAGCACGGATACCTGACTGAATTAGGAGATTAATTTGAGCAGATGATTGTATTAGCGAATTGTGCGGAGTAGTATTTAGAAGTTTATAATGGGTCAAATCTCTAGTTTAACTTCAAACTTTAATTTTTACCTTTCATTTTTACGATTCATTTTTTCTCTTGGTTGTGTGAAAATGAAACCTAAATTAATCAGCGTCAATCAAATAAACAAAAATAAATAAATAAAAATAAAATATTTATTTTAATGTATTTACCTGAGCCGAAAGTCTGGCACTTGGATTTTGCACAAGCATGGTCACATTGGATTTTTGCTAGGGAATTAATTCCACATCTCTCCTTCTCACACTTTAGGATACACCTGGTTTGTGCTCCTGTTCCTATTTTAAACATGCATTTTAATTGACATCTCAATATGCAGAAAAATTTAGACGCATCAGCCCCTGCAACAAACATTATCATGATTATAGTAGCTAAATAAATTGAATGATTTCTCATTTTCATGCTTCTTTGTTTTTTTTTTTTTNTAAGAAATCATGGAGTCTACAATTGATGAAAATGCAGATTTTCTCGAATCCAAATCATGTGTTTATAATTTTTTATGTCAATATATAATATATAATTGAAAGTAGGTTAGGAAATGGATATATGAGCTACACATTTTCTTATTATTTCATAAAACTTAATAACCTTTTATTTGTTTTTTCATTCTTAATACATAATACAGAATTAATTACCTGTTAACAAATACTAATTTGATATAAATATTTTATATATGAAATAATATTTATTTCTACCTACATATATTATAAATTTATTTATCAACCATAATTACTAAATTTGTAATAATTAAGAAAAAATTAGGGGCATTTTGGTAATTTTACCCATGTGTCGCCATATAAAAGTCTATTACCTCTTCATATAGAATATCGAGAGACATATAATTGTAAGCAAAGAATTAATTGCAAAACTTTTCATATTTACGCGTATAATTTTCAGAATTTTTAAGTATTTTTAATTAAGTTTAATTTTTTTTTTTTAAATTGTGCATATATCTTCAATTTTGTAATAAAGATTATAGTCTTCAATAAAAGTTGAAAAAGTTATGTTTCAAAATTAATATAATTGTGTATTTTTGTTATTTTGATAACTGGTAAGTAATATTATATTTTAATGTTATAGTCACAATTTTACCGCTACATATCTCTTCTTTTGTTTGTAAACTCATTTCAAATATTTGGACTTCAAATTATACCCGAACAACTATTAGATTAAATAATGCATATTCTACATTTATCTTATAATATAATTATATTATTGTTAATAATTTATACAATAGTTCTCTCAATAAAGATTAATTTATACGTTATATAAGATTTATATTGCCCAATTTAAATTCATATACTTTTATTTACTTTGGTGGTATTGTTATGATTATTTAATATAACGCTTTAATTATACATTAAAAAATTTATTATTCATTATATTCATACAACAATTGTCATTAACATATGGCATATTCCACATTTATATTATTTTTATTTTTAGTTAAAATAAAATTATTTGTAACAAGTAGTTTTATTGGTTGGTTATTTGGTCACATTTTATTTTATTTTATTTATAAAATGGCGTAGATAGGTATTAGCGTGTATATACCGACTATGACTAAAAATCCTATACCGATTAAGAAATAAGAATCCTATAATATGAGATGGAGCGCGGCTATTATGAGATGAAGGAGTGTATGGACACCCTTTACACGTTCGATGTGGCGGAGGAGGTTTTTGCTGAGGTGGGCTTACCTGAGGAGGTGATGGCGCGTTACACAGTACGTTACCCTGCGGTCGATGAAGTCCATGGTGCCTTAGCGGCATATGATCCGAGTGATAGATCGAAAATTATGCACGTTTATATATTTAATAGTGTATTTTTATGCACTTAATTTATTTGCACGTTTGTATTTTTCGACTTATTTATTATTTGGATGGATTCATATACATTGATATTTTTATGTTTATTTTCAGAATATTAGAGTGTTTCCATAGATGATGCGGACAAAAGTCCACGTGATCAATTATCACCCAACATCCATCAGTTGGGGCCCAAGAATGGATTAAAATGGCCCAATAGGTGGTCTTACGGGGGAAAAGGTGGGCTGATTATTTGGAGTTCATGGCAATTTAATGATAAAAGAAGAAAAATGTGAGTCTCACTTTAGGGTTCTGGGAGGAGTTTGATTCCTTGAGGTAACTTTAAATTATTTTCCAAGACATAGCAGCACTCACGTATGATTGGTTGGGAGTACTTTTGAGAGACTTAACAAAGTGAATTATTTGCCATGCGATAAAAGAAAAAAACCGAGAACGGGATTTATTATTACGCACAGGTAGAGGAAAAATTAACGGGAGAGCGAGGCGCATAAAAAGAAAAAGAAACGCCTGAGAAGAAATAACACACGGACATACGGGAGAGAAGGCTACACACACGGAGGGAAGCCGCAATCGCACACGAGGGAGATTTTTTTCTCTCTTTTATCTTTTCTTTATTTTTATTAGTATGTTAGGCTAGTAATTTTATCCAGTTTTAGGGGATGTTTGAACCCTAACTTTGATTTGTCTATGGATTGGATGATCTTTGTTTATCGTTGATTAATCGAGACGCCGTATTTATTTTGTTGATGAGTTGATTCATGTTATCTGTGTATAATGTTTATGAATTATGGTGTTTGATTTAGTCTGGCCAACTACGTTAAATATTCATAGTTTAATTGCTAGATTCGGGACTTTAATGTCTCGTTTCATTAGTAGTAAACTAGGGGTCGTGCATCTCTAGGGTAGCGTGAACATAAGTTAAATGGTCCGAACTTTTCCGTCCATTGCTTAGACTGATCTATTTTCCTCGGAATTAATGTTGCTAGTGTATTAAATCTAGAGAGCTTATTCTAGGTTGTCCACTAGTTAGGTTTAGTCGAAGAGCCTATTTCGATTAAATATTTGGTAAGGGAAAATTCGGTTAACAGAGCTTGTTGTTAGCTAGAGTTGGTAATTCATTAGCAATTTAAAGAAAGCGTCGAAATTAATTAACGGTAGATTTAGATTGGGTGATAACTGAACCGAAAAATTGGATTTCTCTTATTTTATTTGATTTTTAGTTTATTTTATTATTTTTATTTTTATTTTCTATTAAAACCAACCCCTTTATTGCTTTCGTAGTTTAGTTCAATTAATACAAAATTATCACGATTTTATTCCTACTCCTCGTGGGATCGACCCTTATTCGCCACTACTATTAGCTAGTAGAGATTAGTTGAGGAAAATTATAAATTTAAATTTGTCGCGTCGCCACGCGTGGTCAGCGAGGGATGGGAAGTTTAAGGACTTGGAGCCCTTGTCCCTCTCTCAACAACGAGCCTTTGGGACTGTCCAGTCTAGGAATCACCAACAGAGTCTCGTCCTCCTCGACCGAAACTGATTGGCGACCCACAAACTACTTAGGAGTACTTGTCAAGTTCAAATCCAAAAGGATGACATTTGACAACCCCAACAACGGCGGCTTAGATGTAAATAACATTAATGTGCAGTATAGTATTTGAGAATTGTTTGAAATAGATTTTAGAATTTGGTGTCCCCTGATCACAGTTTTCAGTGTCTTATCATTTTCCAAAAAAAAAAATAAAAATTGATTGCTGTTGTTTTCGTTTTCCCCTTCATTCCCTTTTTTTTTTTTTTCTTATAATNTCTAATCTTATATCCAAGGGAGATTTTCTTAAAATTTAAGTTGCATGTTTGCATTTTGTATTTGTATTATGTTGTAGGTACATATATTGATTTGGATTAGGGGATTTCATGGCCTGCTATTTTGCAAATAGATTTGAGCTAAGGAATATCCTTATAATATTCTAACTTCTAAGTAACATAAAATTTATGAAAAAGAAATAAAAATCCTATACCAACTATAACTCTTAATAAACAAAATTTTCGACTATAACTCTATTTCCTATACGGATTATACTTCTCTGTAAACTTTATTTGAAATTGTTGTTGTAATTATTGCCTGAGTTCTCTACATCTCCACATTAAAACAACCATACAGGTAAATAAAAATCTTCGATATGTATTGTAGCCCGTATATGGAAACATTCTTATATTCCAAATATAGGTACGTTAACATAGAAAGAAAAAGAAACAAGAATCCTATACCGACTATGAGTTTTAATAGACTAAATTTCCTATACCGACTATACTTGTCTATATAATATAAAGGCCAGGTCTGGTGAATACGGACACATACATAAATTCTATTAATTAATTGGCAACAAAAAAAGAGAAAAAGGTATGGAGGGCTCCTCCCATAATTCCCTTAGTGAAGATGTGTTAGTTGGAATCCTGGCGAGAGTTCCCGTAAAAGCTTTGCTCCGTCTTCGGAGCGTATGCAAATCATGGAAGTCGATGATAGGCAGCCCCGAATTCAATTCCTTGCACCTCTCCACAAACCGCCACTCCTCCAAAATCTTGCTCATCGCACGAGACCGTGAACAGTGTCGCGTGGGTAGACCCAAAAAGCGGTGCTTTGTGCTTAACAACGATGAAAATCTCCCTTCCGACCCTTCCTGGTTGACCCCTTTGGATTTCCCCTTCGAATACCCAGACTGGACCTCTCCCCACATAGTCGGCTCCATCAATGGCTTGATATGCATATCCCAGTCCCTATCCTATGACTCGGACGATGCGCAACCCAACCTACCCATCATACTATGGAACCCTACCGTCGAGAGGCACGTCTGCGTACCTGACCCAACCTTCAGTTTGGCATATAACGCGTCCATCGAGTTCGGATACGCCGCTGCCACAGACGATTACAAAATCGTGGTCGTTAGGCAATTAGGCGAGACTATTGCCCCGGAGTTCCACGTCTATTCATTGAACTCAAACGCATGGCGCGGGGGTTTCGAGATGTGCCCCCCCACGGCCGCCCGTGTGAGGAAAAGAGGGGACCGTCGAGTGTTTGCTAGCACGAGAGCTTTCGTGGGAGGCAAGATGCACTGGCTCGTTAGCAATGATTTTGTGAGGGAGCCATGTTACAACACCCTTTACACGTTCGATGTGGCGGAGGAGGTTTTTGCTGAGGTGGGCTTACCTGAGGAGGTGATTAATCCGCATCACAAACTACCCGAGGTTGCTGTAGTGGAGGACTTATTGCATGTGGTGCAGTCCACGCCTATCGGTTGGACAATTTGGGTGAAGATGGAGGACGCGGGATGTTGTGATGTGTACTGGAAGAAATTGTACAGAGTTGATGTGAATGTGAATGCTGTGTTTGTGTGTCTTTTGAAGAATGGGGAGTTGGTGATGGACAAGAACCCTGCGGTCGATGTTGCCTTAGCGGCATATGATTCCAGGGATGGCAAGTTTATTAAGGACTTGGAGCCCTTGTCCCTCTCTCAACAACGAGCCTTTGGGACTGTCTATTCTAGCAATCACCAACAGAGTCTCGTCCTCCTCGACCGAACCTGATTGGCGACCCACAAACTACTTAAGAATACTTGTCAAGTTCAAATCCAAAAGGATGACAATTGACACCCCCAACAACGGCGGCTTAGATGTAAATAATATTAATTTGCATTAGTATAGTATTTGAGAACTGTTTGTTTGAAATAGATTTTAGAATTTTGTGTCCCCCGATCACAGTTTTTCAGTGTCTTATCATTTTCCAAAAAGAAATTGATTGCTATTGTTTTCGTTTTCCCCTTCATTCCTTTCTTTTTTTTTTTTTCTNCTCTATTTCCTATACGGATTATACTTCTCTATATAACATAAATAATTGGCAACAAAAACACACACACAAAAAAAAAAAAAAAATGTTATGGAGGCCTTGAGTGAAGATCTGTTAGTCGAAATCCTGGCGAAAGTGCCCGTAAAACCTTTGCTCCGTCTTAGGACCGTATGCAATTCATGGAACTCCATCATAGCCAGCCCCGAATTCCGTTCCTTGCACCTCTCCACAAACCGCCGCCACTCCAAAATCTTGCTCACCACAAAACACCCTCTGATCTCGAATCATTATCATCCCGTAGAGCGGTACTTGTTGCTTGACAACGATCACCATCGCCCTGCCGACCATTCCTGGTTGGCATCTCTCGATTTCCCCTTCCAATACCCAGTCTTCACCTCTCCCCATATAGTGGCCTCCATCAACGGCTTGATATGCGTATATGTGGCCCCGACCTTAACGCCTGCGTTTGAGGTGCAAGTAAACATACGACCCTACCATCCGGAGGCACGTCTGCCTTCCGGACCTCACCTTGACCAAACCAAATTACTCGTACACCGAGTTTGGATACGACCCCATCACAGACGACTACAAAATTGTGGTCCTTACACTCGACAAAGCCCCAGAGTTCAACGTCTATTCCTTGAACTCAAACACGTGGCGCAGAGGTTTCCTCGACCGCCAAATAAAGCTAATTAGTAGCACGGGCGCTTTCGTGGGGAGAAAAATGCACTGGCTTGTCTGCAAAGATTTTGAGTGCCTTTACTCGTTCGACGTGGCGGAGGAGGTTTTTGCAGAGGTGGCCTTACCGCCAAAGGATCGTGCAACTGGCTCGTCTGTGAAGGTTTTTCCACATGTTATAGTAACTGTACTGGGGGAGTCGTTGCTTTTGGGACAGGCCTCAAACAACTCTTGGACCATTTGGGTGCAGATAGGCGCTGGCGGCTGGAAGAAATTGTACAGAGTGGAGGACCCAATGGGCCTGCCGACTGTGTTTGTGTGTGTTTTGAAGAATGGGGGGTTGGTCGTGGACAAGTACTATTATCCTGGCCCTTATTATGGCTTAGCTGCATATGACCCTAAGGGTAGGCAGTTTAAGTTCTTGGAGCCCTTGTCATTGTCTCAACAACGGAACTTTGGGGGTGTGGCGTCCGTCAACGATTACCAAGAGAGTCTCGTCCTCATTGACTGCACGCCGCTTGGTGACAAACACCCTAGTTGCTCTAATTGGTCTTGCCAAGCTCAAATCAAAAGGAATACACCCTCCACGCTAGTTGCTCCTGCCAACTTCAAATCAAAAGGAAGACACCCTCGGGAGAAAAATTAACATCTTTTCGTGTCTGCAGAAAAACACGTATATGACGCAACTAATAGCGTTCATGGTGCACATACTTTCTCAAATGGACCTGGTCCTTTCTTCTTGATGCCATTTGAATATGATTAGGTTCGAATTGAGAACTCATGAAAGGTTTCTCAGTTTTGAGCACACTGTGAATATACATTATGTATCTAGGTACTTCTGAAAGTGCATAATGGTTGAGCTTAAAGTAAATATTAGAGTGCAATTTTTATGTTCAACCATATTGATTTATTGTTCAAAAGAAATATATGCAACATTTTATGAATTTATGAAACTTTAATCTAAGTAATCAACAAGCATGCTACTTCTCTAGTAGAAATACAACCATGGTAATTTAACACATTAGCATTGATGTAGGGCGCTACTAACAACCCATTAAGACAGAACCCAATTCGAAACTCCAATGCATCAAGCAGTAAGGCATCAAGTAGTTATGAAGCAACACATGCGGGCTTTTGTAGATACTAGATACTATAAACATTAATCACTTTTCTTTTCAGTGTTTGTACAATCCAAAGCACACCCTTCCCATCCCTTTTGAGTTTTAATTATAATGAGAAGCAGAGCAGATGCAGCAATTAATGGCACCCAAAACCTTAAAATCATTCTTTTTTTCTCTTTTAAAGTTCTCACACACTCCTGAAACAAATTAGTATGTGAAAAGAGCATATTACCTTTGATCTCATGGTCACCTTCTCCGCTCAAGATTCCTCATTGAACAGCAGGACCATAAGCAACAACCTCATCCAGGGTTAAGCACCATAAGCAACATCACCATATCTAGCAAATAACAAATACCCGAACAAAAGTTGTACTCTTCCTCGCACAAGTTAGTTTACTCTTTTACCTAATCATTTTGTTAAAGTAGCGAGATTTTTCTAAATAGTAAGTACCTAAATCATTTTGTCCTACATCGTTATACAGAGAAAATAGGCCTACCTTATAAGCCTAGTGGACTACTCCTTCTACCACCAATTGGTTTTAGGATGGAACCCTACTAAGACTCATCTAGGCTCACCCTGCTTTGGTGCGTTTCACGTCCGTAGGATCGCACTCCTCAACACCCGTTTCTTCAAATTTGACTGAATTCAAGAATTATCTATTTTAAACATTTAAAAAACAGAATTGTTATACAAAGGTGAAGATACAGAACAGAATAAATAGGGGGAAAGAGTACCTTTATTTTCTAGAGAAAATCATAGCCTGTCATTCCAAGCATACAGTAGTTTGTAATAACAACTTTTACTTCCACCTCCTGTATATAAAATAAAATTTATAAGCAAAATATAAATATAAAAATAAAAAACAAATTGACAATTACAATTTAAATCTTAGGCAACAATAATAAAATTAACAAAATTACAGAGCAAAAAATTAAGTGAGAGAGAGAGAGAGAGAGCACTTGAACTTAGTCACATGGAACATGTTATATGCTCATCCTTCTTGTGACAATTCTCATTGTATATGCTCATTATTAATGTATATTTTTCCAATCAGGTGCTGCTGAGGTGAATTTGAGTTGAAGAACATACTCAATTCGTAGTCACACTCATGTATAATTGGTAAAAATTTTGTGATAATATAATGTGTTTTTATCAGGTTAGTCGCCAGGAGCTTGTGGACTGTCTAGGTACTATTGCACAGAGTGTACCTGCTAAGTTCTTAAAAGTACTGAAGGTTAAACCTCTTTGGTGATGCACTGATGCTAACAATTCTTTTATAAACCCATGTATATCATAGTGTTCATCATTTTCTATCGTCTTATTCAACAGGATAGCAAGGAAATTGGCGTTGACAGCAATTTAATTGGTCAATTTGGTGTGGGGTTCTACTTCACCATCAAGAAACAAACCTTCAACAACCGAACCTGACAATCTCCAAATTGTTTCCTCCTCTCATCATTCCAACACAAAACAAAACTCAATAAAGATCACAATATTTCTGGGCTCTTCCCAACTTCCCAAGTACCTCTCAATCGAACATCTCCAAACAAACACAAGCACCACATAATAAACAAACTAAGAAACACTTCCAAACAAACATACATCAAAAGCTCGTGTAACTAAAATAAAAAGAAACACCAAAAGAAAATGCAAATTCAAAGAACAGAAGTCACACAAACAGAGCTAAAAAGGGCAGGAAATCAAACGTACTTGCGAACAGAATCCTTAAGTTTCTCCTCCTCAAGGAACTGAAGAATCAAGAACACCCCTGCTGACCAACGACATTTTCAGATTCTCCTACCTTGGAACGTGGATTCCCGAAGAAGGGGTGGTGGGGCTGCTGACGGCGCCGTGGCGGCTGATTTTGTCAGCCCTTTGTTTCAGTCGGGAAGACGCCATCGAACCATGCTAAAGCCTCGCCATTGAAGTTCTCGACGACGATCAGAAATTTGTTGAAATTTTTGGAAAATGCCTTCACCTCATCGAAGCCAAATTGTGTGTGTGTGTGTGTGTGTAAGTGTAAATGAGTAGTGAGGGTTTGAGATGTTGGGAAGAAGGATGGATAATATTAACAAGTCTTCTTCTTCGTAACTAAGCGAAAGAGCTCACTTTCGGCGGGATCAACCGAAAGTTTACGGGAATCAAATCAACCTTGAGCTCACGCATGCACCACCGTACACTGCCAGTCGCAGATTTTCCGGTAAGGCAGCGCACAATACCTCGTCGTTTCAATATCAGCACGTGCTTTCTTGGAAGGCAGATGTGCAACACCATGAAATTACAATAAGAAGCAACATAAAACAAGGGCTTTCTCGTCAATTCAATATAAAATAAGGGTAGCTAACATTGAAGGATAATGAAATTACAATAACAAGCAACATAAAACAAGGGCCTTCTCGTCAATTCAATATAAAATAAGGGTAGCTAACATTGAAGGATAACGAAACCCGTCGTTTCGGCATCCCAGTTAAGAAAGAAACAACAAAAGCAGATTTTTAGCAAAATAAAGTGGTACAATTGTAATGGTACCGTTGTACTTTTTAACCGTAGATATGTATAGATAATCTACGGTTAAAAAGTACAACGGAACCATCTCGTAACGGGATGGTAGCATTCTCTCAATTGCATATAAACGAGACAATCTTAGATCAATGGTAAAATCTATATCTATATATATATAATTGCTAATAGAGCAATAAATAAACTTAATTAATAAAACCTTCACAATTTTTTCGCTCATTTTTTTAATTAATGTAAAAACGTTACATTTTACATTAATAAAGTGTAATAACAATTTTAAACTAATTTATTTTATAATATTAGTACTAACACTAACTTACTATGAGAGATTCTATAGTCCCGTTACAAAACTATTCCATCGGAATTGGTAAGAGATCAACTATCCACGACGGTTACATGATAATCTAACGGTTACAAATCCAGACGGAATGATTCTGTAACGGGATTGTAGCATTTCCTCTTATTATAATTTTACATTAAATAGTATGTGGAAGTTACACACTTATAAAAAGTTATACCGCAATATTTTTTTCTTTAAAATACTTTTTCTAAAATAAAATATTTTTTGTCCTTTCAAGCGCTTTTTATCTAATATTAGTTAATTGGCATGAGTGTCATAATTAAACACCTTAATATCACATAAACAATAGCCATAACAATGATAAAAATAATTGTATTACTTTTCTAACTAATTAATTGTATGCTCCCTCTAAATTACTAAATTATATTGTCCATTAAAATTTATGGCATCAATATAAACATTCATATATAAGTTAAATAATTTATATTTACATTACACATTTGTATATAGTTAAAATTTAAAATATAATACATCAATTATCTAATATAAAATTTTATATATTGTATACATACATATAATATATAAATTTTTATTTTTCTTTGTGTATGTGCACAGGTTGAATATTAGTATATATAATTATTAGCAAAACATTTAATAAAATTATTTTCGTTTCGCGCCTTTTTCTGTTACAATGATATGTCATTAATTATAATATTATTTCATTAATCCACCCTATCCCATTAATGCCAAAATATTTCTTGCTCTTTTTTTTTTTAGTTTAATTAAGACAAAAACTATTATAGTATATGTTAATTGATTAATAATTATAGTTTTTATTCTATCATATCTTATAATAGTTATTATTATAATAACTAATTATGTTTATACTAAATGATGTATGAAAATAACATAAATACAAAAAATTAATTGTAAAATTTTTTGTTCAAGTTATTTATTCTAAAATGAACATGGTAAGTTTTCAGTTATAAAAAAATTACATTATTTCATATCTCAAGATTACAAAAATTACTTTATTTAATACACTTTCTACAGTTAATGATAAAAACATTCATGTGTAATTAAATTTTAATCAATAATTATCAAAATTCTTAAAATATAATTTAATTATCTAACTATTTTAATATTACTATGCATATTGTATAATACTTTATTTACATTTACAGGATGAATTTTAGTCGTAATAAAAATTGGTAATCGTTACGCGGAACTATTCTGTCGGAATTGGTAACCGTTAGATCAACTATCCACGACGGTTACAAATCCCGACGAAATCTATCATTATATAAAAAGAATAACCTTTTTACAATTTTAGAAATGTTTTCCCGCCAAATACATTAAATGTATCCTATATATAGTAATTGTTGGCAAAAAAAAAAATCGGATTTTGTTATGATATGGGTAGCTTTTATTTTATCAAGTCTGTTAGCATATTTTTTGTTTTACATTTTGAAATGAAAATCAGTTTTTATTTTTGGTTTTGATTTTGGAGAAATTCTGACACACGATTCATTTGTAAAGTTTTCGATATTTTTTCGAAAATGATTTGATTCACACAGTTTACTTAAAAATCTTCATTTAATATTCAGTTTTTATTTTTGGTTTTTCTTTTGGATAAATTCTAATACACGGTTTTTTTTTAATGTTATCTCTCTCTTTTCTTTTTTTTTTGGTAAAGATCTGATTTACAGAGTTTGCTTAAAAATCTCAACTTAATATCTTTCCTTTATACTGATAAATACAATATTTTATCACGTCAATACAAATATATCACATTAACTACAAATTATACAAACTAGATCTCTTATGGAACCTAACAAAATAAATTAAGAGATTACACTTTCATTCAATGTATAAAATTACAATGATATGAATCATACAAAAAATGTTAAAATAAATAGATAATCACAAATCGTAAAATAAATAGATAATCACGAATCCAATATTAACGTAACAATTTTATAATCTTGATTTAATATTTTCATTTCAGTTGATAAACATAATAATTTATCACGTCAATATATATTATCACAAGAACTACAAATTAGACAAACTAAATCACTTATGGAACGTATAAAATAATTTAAAATATTACATTTTCATTTGATGAATAAAATGACTGAAATAATAAACAAGATAATCACAAAATCCACATTCTATGGTAACTGTTTTCTAAAATTGCCATAAAACTAGCATTTTCACGAGATAAACAGTCTTTGATATCTATCACATCAATTTATAATATCCAAAATATTTTATTTCATATTTGATGTTGATGTTAAAAGATATTTGTTGCTCTTAAAAACGAGTATGGGACAATAAATATCCTATCACAGCCATACAAAAAAGCACATGTACGAACATAAAAAAAAAAATTACATTTCATGACTAAATTTAAAATGTTTATTATTTTTTGATTCATCTCATTCAATTTATAATATTCCACCAAATAATTACAGCCCGTGCATCGCACGGGTTACACGTACTAGTAGTTCCGTAACGGGATTCAAAATTAGAAACTTGTCAGTTTTTAATAATGGCATAATGAGACACTTTTCGGAGGTCACGCACTTCTTCATACATGTTTGTTCCTTTGGATTAGGTGATTTGGTGGGCTGCTATTTATTTTACAAACAGATTTGGGCTAACGAATATCCTTATATTCTAAATGGGAAATCCTTATATTCCTGTATCGACTATACTTGTCTATATAAAATAAAGGTCAAGTGAATACAGTCATATACATACAACAAAAGAA